CTCTGGGGGAGGCAGGGACCCCCACATAAATCATAGCATCTCTTAGCAAATCATCAAACACCGCGGGAAAATCATAAAACAACTCTAAAACATGATTAGCACATTCACTGGCGGGAACAACATGTTATCAACCACCATAAACTACTGGGAGGATCATCTGGCATCCCAGGTATTTCCCTGTCTCATGCTGATTGGTGGTTGCTAGGGGGTTGCTATGGGTCCTCACCTAGCCTGAGTCAGGGACACCTGGCACAGCAGATCTCTCCTGTTATTTGTAGATAAACAACTCCGAAGGGTGGGTGTGTGCCTAGGAGTGCTCTGTGGGTCTTTCTTTCTTTCTTTTTAAACAGAGAGGGAGAGAGAGGGAGAGAGAGAGAGAGAGAGAGAATTGTAATATTTTTTTTTAGTATTTGGCGGACACAACATCTTTGTTTGTGGTGCTGAGGATCGTACCCGGGCTGCACGCATGCCAGGCGAGTGTGCTACCACTTGAGCCACATCCCCAGCCCTCTGTGGATCTTTCTAAGGACAAGGGTCACGCCCCTTTCCTTGGACAGGCTTTGCTCTGAGGTAGAGGCTGGTTTTTCACCTGTCATTTTTTTTTTTTGGTGTGTGTGTGTTGGGGGTGGGTACCTGGGAGGGGATTGAACTCTGGAGCACTGAGCCACATCCCCAGCCCTATTTTTTTTTTTAATTTATTTAGAAACAGGGTCTCACTCAGTTGCTTAGTGCCTCACTGTTGCTGAGGTTCGCTTTGAACTCGGGATCCTCCTGCCTCAGCCTCTGGAGCCACTGATATTACAGGCGTGCACCATCGCACCTGGCTGTTATTTTTCTTTTACACGAAGAAACTAAGACCCACAGAGGTCATAGCCAAGATCACATAGTCAACTGGCACTGGCCACTTCTTGGTCAGTGCAACTTTATTTAGAGAAGGAAAACATGGGAATAACCTAAATGTCCAATGGAAGGAGACTGGTTAGGTGAACTGTAGGGCACGCAACTCGTCTTCAATATGACGATTCTGAACATACACAGCAAAAGATTTAAGTTTATCAAAAGTGCTACACAGGATATACTCTTAGGTAAAAAGCAAGTTATTGAACAGTATGTATAGTACATTCTCAATTTTATAAGATAATAATAAGCAGTGCTAGCACATGCATGGTTTTAGTCAGCTTTTTCATTGCTATAACCAAGACAAGAACAATTTTAGAGGAGAAAAAGGTATTTGGGGCTTATAGTGTAACCCGGATTCACTTGATGCTTTGATTATGGCTTTGTGGCTTTGAATTACATGTTTTTTTTTCTTTTCCCCAAACTTCTTCTCCCTGATCTTCTCCTTCCTGATCTCTCCTCCCTAATCTCATTTTCTCTGAATCACCTCTATAAAAGCCCCCTCTTCTTGCTGAAGGGCAGAATCACAGTCTTTGGGACAGGAGTCCCCTGTATTTCTCCTTTGCTAGCCAAGCAATAAACTGTCTTTTTCCTTTTTCTCAAGACTGTGTCCTCGTTATTGGACGGGAATCTGGGATAAGGAGAGTTCTGGGCAACAACAGTTTCAGAGGTCTCAGTCCATAAACGGCCATTACCTCTGTGCCAGGGATGAGGCAGAATATCACGGCTGGGGGTGGGGGGGAATGGCTCAGGATATGGCTCCAGGAAGCAGAGAGAGACTCCACTACCCAAGGACAATTTGTATTCCCCAGAGGCACAAGACCATACCTTATGTGCCTTCAGTTCCTGCCCAGTTAATCCCTATGAGGGAATTAATTTGGTGGGAGAACTCTGGCTTATTTATTATCTGCCTGCAGCAGACCTGGGCAAGCTAGTGCTCTGAAGTTCTGGGCCCCAAGCTGAGTCACACGGGTTGGCACCCCAACTTAACCATCACAACATTGGTGGGTTTGAGTGCTTGGCCTCCATGACCAAAGACCATGTGCAGAAATTTTATGGTAAGTAGTTCACAGGTGCAGAACAAAGACCGTAAAACACCATGATCATGAAGCGGCCTTTTGCACAGGTGGCAGTATCTCAAGATGACTTGAGTTTATCTTCCTAAGAGCTCTATTTTTACGAACTACAAAGTTATAGTTTAGACAGCAGTTAATTGGCCTAGTAATTAAGTGATGTAGCTACCTTCCTAGAGTTCAAGTAAGAAGGAGGGCTGGGGCTAGGGCTGGGGCTCTGGAGTAGGGCACTTGCCTGGCACATGTGAGGCCCTGGGTTCCATCCTCAGCTCCACATAAAAATAAATTAATAAAGTAAAGATATTGTGTCCATCTACAACAACAACAACAAAACAAAACAAAACAGGAAGAAAAGACCCTTTTCATAGGCACCTGTTGAATTCAGGCCTGCAGAGCCTGCCCAGGGGTGTTTACATATCAACAAGGCATCCTCAGGCTCCTGGAGACAGATACTTACAATCCAATAGGTAGGGACCAAAGTTAATCAGGTTCCCCACAGAAAGGCTGCCCAGGGGGTGGAACTTTAACCCCCCCCACACCTTTTTTTTTTTTTTTTTTTTTTTTTGTGGTGCTGGGGTTTGAACCCAGGGCCTTGTACATGCAAAGCAAGGACTTCACCAGCTGAGCTATATCCCCCAGCCCCCACCATTGGTTTTCTCATCATGTTCTTAAAATTTCATTTTATAATCAGGTCTGGATTCTCTCTCACAAATTCACCGGGTGAAGGCTCTGATGACCCAATCATTTCACCTCTCAATCTTCTTGTCTTGTCTCACACATGAGCTTTTGGGGGTCACTCGTATCTAAACCATGACATGGCTGCAAACCACTGAACCAAGGATGTTCCTGTCTTAGGTGTTTTCAGAGCTAACATGTAGGAAGCCGTGGCCAGGCACTGTTTTGAACACCTTTCAAGGTTTGGCCCTTGTGAGGTGGTGCTGTTGGTCTCACTTTACAAAGGAGGAAACTCATGCAGAGCCAGGTTAGGTGACCTGCGGGAGGCCACAGGGCCCTTCAGCCGCGGAGCTGAGATGAACCTAGGTAGTCCTGACACCCTGAGGCTGAACCTCTTAACTCCAGTCCAGGTGACTCCTAGGTCTGTCCAGTTCTAGAATTCTAGGAACATAGAATCCCAAGCCCTTTGCCACTCCAACAGCTAATGAGGGAGCGGGCTCTGGTTCCGGGGCTCAAGGGTCTCCACTTCCCACCAGGTGACGCTGGTTGTGATTCCCAGCCTTCCTCTGAGCACTGATACAAACTGGATTTTCCCAAGGAGAAACCCTCTGGGCAGGAGATAAAAGAATGTGACCCTTCACGGGCCTGGGCCCAGGATAAGTGGCTCTGTGAACCAGCAAGCAAGGACCCACCTGCCAAGGGCACCGAGTGTCAGTTAGATGATCGCGGAAAGATCTTCAGGCCCTGTGGCCCCTGTGCCCAGAGCCCTGATGGTGCACTGACCAGCTGGCAAACTGAGCTGTGTGGCCCCTTAAGTCCTGAGCCTGCAGAGGGCCACGCAGCATCCAGAACAGAAGGTCTTCACTTCTTGAGGAGGGACCTTGTCACAGGTGGAATTTTTGCTCTTCCCTCCCCTCTGACCCTTGAAGAAGGTCCCTGTCTTATGATGACAATTCCAGATGTTCAGACGTTTGGGGTTGTTCTGTTAGACCAGGATGCAAGAAAAGACCACTGACTCCAATTAAAATCAAATTAAAGCAACCTTATTATTTCGACCGGCCGGGCTGCCTCTCCCACCCAAAACGGTGGGAACAAGACAGCAGCAGTAGTTTCCTGCAGCCCAGCTTTAGAGCCCAGAAAGTTACACAAAAGGGGGGGTACAGATAACAGAACTCTGACGAGCATCACACTAATGGTAGTTTACATTTTTTGCTGGCCCCAACATCAGAATTTATGAGGACCATTAGAGCCTCAGAGAGGGTCGTTGTCTGGCCAGGGAAGGCCAATATTTATGAGGTGTCACTAAAGTTTCAGAGAGTGCTGCTCTCTGGTCATAGAGCCAGGCATGGGTAAGTTCAAGGCACGGGCAGGCATTCCAAGCAGGTTCAGAATTTGCAGTAATTTATAGTAAACCCGAAATTATCTTTTCATGACTTTGTGGCAAGATGGCTCCCAATTTTAAGTAAAGATCAGGTTGGGTCTATCAGTTTTTGGTGTGTGTGGGTGGTGCTGATGATGGAACCCAGGGCCTTGTGCATGCGACATGAGCACTCTACATCGTGGCAGCAGCCTTTGGTTTCTCACTGCAAAATTCTTCCAGTCTTTGTTTGTCCCCCCCTCCCCCCCGGGGGAGGAGGATAGTATGTTTAACATTTTTCATAATAAAATGCTGGAATGAAAACACTCCTGGCAGCTTGGTTCCTTCTGCCCCAAGTGCCTCCTGGCAGATACCTGCGGGCTCATACCCCTTGCAGGCAGGCAGGGTCCTCGGGTCCTGGTCCCTCAGCCCTGCGCTCCCCGCCCCCTCTCAGGAGGGTTCCCCCAATGCCCAAGTGCAGCACAGCCAGCACACGGGTGGCATGTGCCTGTGGTACCAGCTGCTGCAGAAGCAGGTGACACTGGAGGATCCCTTGGAGCCCAGAAGTCCAAGGCCAGCCTGGACAACATGGTGAGACCCCACCTCAAAAATTTAAAAATCAAATCAAATCAAAGGGCAGCACTTACTCCACCCCTTATGTTCCTTGTGCTCCCCTCACTTTCTCCACAGCCCTCGTGGCCATCTGACACAGTGTGGACTTTCACTTGTGCATATATCTGTTGATCGCCTTCCCCTATGAGAATCTGCACAAGTGAGAATGGGGACTTTCGAATGCAGTGGCATCCTTAGCACCAGCAGGCTAGCTTCATACAAGAGGTTCGAAGCATAGAAGTTAACTAGTGAGATCAAAATAAACACACAAAACTCAATTTACCCTTTTCTTTGACCAGGTCTAAGACAGCTCTCCCCTCTGGCTCCTGCCTGGAGCCACCCTGTGGGGCAGTGATGTTTACACAGACTAGCAGGAGAGAGAGCACACCAGGGAGTGGCCTTTTATTGGAGAACAAGAATTTCAAGGGAAAATTCCATCCAATGAGGGGGACAGCATTCCAAGGTCAGGGTCAGTGATTGGTCTCAGGGTCAATGGTCAGTCGCACCCCCACACCTAGAGAGGGTGGGGATTAGCTCCGACACAGTTTAGCCAGAATGCCTCACACCCAATCAGGGAGGTGCCCAATCACGTGTGAGGATGGCTTCCCACACTCCTCACCTGAGCAAGCCTGGGCAAGATCCAGGAAGTAGGTAGGTCCTCCACTCCCCACAGGAAGGTTGTCTGCATCAGACGTGACCTCACTCCCAGCATGCCTGGCTAGTGTGGCTAAGGCATCACCATTCATTCACTCTAAAACCATGAGCTCTGGAGTCAGGCCACCTGGGTTCAAATTCTTGCTTTTCTAATTTATTAGCTGTGTGACCTTGGGCAATGTGGTCAGTCTCTGTTTCCTCATCTGTAAAGTAGAAAAAAATCTGTTATGATGATTGAACAGAGTCTTGCATAGTGAGGTGTGTAGAAAATGGTCCATAAGTGTTAGTAATTATTATTATCATGCAAACTTGGCATATTTACTGTAGAAAACTGAAAACATAAAGACACATAAAACACCTATGACTTCAATATCTCTAAAAACTGGCACTACATTTTGGGTATATATCCACTCAGATGTTTTCTTTCCTTTTTTGGGGGGCAGGGCGGATTGAACTCAGGGTTATTCTACCACTAAGCCACATTCCCAGACTTTTTTATTTTTTATCTTGAGACAGAGTGGGGCCTAAATTGCTGAGGCTGGCCTCTAACTTATTATCCTTCTGCCTCAGCCTCCCCAGTCACTGGGATTATATGCATGTACCACTTCACCTGACTCAGAGCTTTTCTATGCATGTAGATTTGTGCCTTTTTATTCCCCCTACAAAAATGGTGTTATATAGTACAAACTGTTTGGTAACTTGCTTTTTTCATGAACAGTATATGATGAGCAGTTTCCAAGTCAGAAAAAAATCCTACAACACCATAGTCTGGTGGCTAAGAGCCCAGATTCTGGCAACAGACTGCCTGGGTTTGAATCTCAACTCTGTCACTTATCTTAGGCAAGTGGATTAACCCCTCTGTGCCATGATTTCCTCATCTGTAATGTGGCCAATAATAATCTCTATTTCATAGAGTGTTTGTGAGGATTAAAACAAAATGTGTACGGTATTTGGAGCAGCGACTGTGCTACATATAACCTTTCTATACACTACACCGACTTCCATGATAGGAATGTGCGATAATCTGTTTGACCAGCCCTCTTTGTGGAATATCTGGGTTGTTTCCAAAATGTCCCGATTGAACTCAGGGATGCTTTACCATTGAGCTACAGCCCTAGCACCCCACTTTTTTTCTTTCTTTAGAAACAGGGGTCTCAGTTGCTGAGCCTGGCCTCAAATTTGTGATCAATTCCCCTGCCTCAGCCTCCCAAATTGCTGGGATAATAGGCACGCGGCAATGCAGCTAGCTCCCAAGTGTCCCTGTTCAAAACACTGCAGTGAACATCCTCCATATGGACACATGTATGAGAGTTTGTCATCCACTGTTGGACTCTGCTGTGACTCCCGCAGACCAGGAACAGAGCTTTAGGTAGGTGGGTCTGAAGGAATTCTAGCTGCTAAAGGAAGCAGGGAGTCCTTTCCTTATCTGTGAAACATGACCTCTCTCCAGGGCTGTCCTGAACTCAGCTCTAAGTGCAAGACCCAATCCCTTGCTCATCAAAAAGTCCCAGGAAGGCTGGGGTTGTGGCTCAGTGATAAAGCGCTTGCCTAGCATGTGTGAGGCACTGGGTTCAATTCTCAGCACCACATATAAACAAACAAATAAATAAAGTCCATGGACAACTAAGAAAATATTAAAAAAAAAAAAAAAGTCCCAGGAAGTGAGACTGGCCCTAATTCCTACCTGGTTCTTGGTCAAGTGAATGAGAGCAAACTATTTCCCCTTTTCACTCGTCTATAAAATGGCCACTGAGGTTCTCCTTTGCTCCCCAGTCGGTGAGTTGTGGGGGCAGGAAGTGCACTAGCATTCTCTGTGCCCTTAGAATTCCAGAGGCCCATCTCAGGGTTCAGAGTACACCTGGCTAGAGCCAAAGGGGCTTCAGGGAGGATGGGCCAGGAAGAAAGAGCTGGTGGAGAGGAGTGAAGAATATGGAGAAGACAGTTTTACTCTGGCCTCTCCTTGTACTCTTGGCAAGAGGGCTATTCCGGCCTTACCACCAGATAGATCATCACCTCTAAGCATCAACAGCCAGATACAGCTCCAGGGTCTGTGCCTGTAGCCTCAAGGCTTACCCGTGCTCAGTTTATTCTTGAGCTAAACTGCTCTACTACATTAATGATGTGATCTTGTTTTCTATGAGCCTCAGTTTTCTTTTCTGTAAAACGGAGCTATCATGACCTGCTTTTAAACATAGGCTGGAAGCATTTCTAGAGGGGACCCTAGCACAGGGTGGGCAGGTGACTCAGCCAAGGATACCAGTGAGTTGTCATCTGAATTGAGGCTGTAACCCAGACCTTTGTACTGCTTCTTAGCCCATCACCCGGGGATTCTCTCCGACCTTTCTCTGCTTCTGTGTAGCCCTCAGCCACACCTGCCCATTGCTCCCAGCCACTGTGCACTTCTGTCACTTCTATCAACACATTGGAGTAGAGGCAGGGATGAAAAACAAGTGTACTGTTAAGAGCAGTTACTTGCTTTACCTGCTGCATGCCTGGTTCTGAGCTCATTATCCTCCCAGTCTGAGTACAAACCTGAATGTAATCAGAGGCTCTGAGAGATTCAGTAACTTGCCCAAGCTAGTAAGTGGCCAAGCTGGAATTTCAACCCTTGTCTGAAAAAGCAGATACCCTTGCTATTTTCTAAACTTCTGCCTCCACAGGGTATAGATCTGATGCCCAAGGAGATTTTTGTTTAGGTGGATGGATAAACCTCACCTATGAAACCACACACCAGAGGCAGTAGTGATGGAAATGCTCTGTGTGGAAGCAAAGACGGAAGGAAGGGATATAAAGGCACATGGGTTGAAGAACAGTAGAGATATCTTGCTGGCCTGGGAGACATGGAAGAGAGTATCTCCCCATGGAGACCAGCTCTGGATGCCACACTAAAGAAAATGGATTTTCTGTTCCAGGCACTGGGAACCTTTGAAGGTTTGTGAGCAGGAGGAAGTTAACAGAGAGCAGCAATGGAGGACAAAGCATTGGTGGGTGCTGATCAACGGGTGATCATAGGGCAGGGAGAAGTCTGCTGTGTCCCAGGACAAAACAACAGGGCACCTTCTTTCTGGAAGTTTTAAAAATGTGCTCCAAGGCCAACTGCTCCGATGTTGTTGAGAAGTTAAGATAGTGAAGCCACTTGGTAGGATGTTCTGCAACCACCAGAAACATTTATAAAGGATGCATAATAATGTGTAAAATGCTTATGTTAAAAAAGACACAATTAAATTTCTAATATGAGCACTATTCTATTTAATAATAGATTAAAAATGTCAACTATGGAAGAAAATTGGGAGAAAAAATAAAAATAAAATACGATGCCAACAGCGGTGGTTTCCCCTCTTCCAGCCATTTTTCTTCGTTTTCCCCAGTTCTGCCAAATGACTTACATTCTGCTTTTCTTTTTTCCACTTAAAAAGAAATCCTCGTTGTCTTTCCTAGTTGTTGTTTGGCATACATACTACGTGGCAGAGGAGTTAGAGGAGTAAATGAGCCAACAGGCGCAACTTGCCCAGCACCTTGCCCGGCACCATGCCCGGCACCACATCCGCGCTCCCGGAGCGTGCGCAGGGTCGCTAGCTAGGCGTCCCCAATTCGGAGGCACCGGGCCTGAGCCCGCCACGCACCTCCCGCCCCCGGCACACACGCCCCCGGGGCCGACGCTCGGTGGCCGCGCCCTCGCGTGTGGGACAGACTCCGCGCCAGCGAAGCGCAGCGCCCCGCCGGGTCTGCGGACGTGGAGCCCGGGGCGCGCCGCCCCACACACCCCGGCAGCCTTGCGCGACGTCGCGCGCCCCACGGCCCCGCCCCCGTGACGCAAACTCGGGGGGCGGGACCGCGCAGGCCCCTCCCATCGCGGCCTCCGATTGGCTGCCGCGCTGTCACCACGTCGCGGGAAGCTGGCAGGGTGTGTGTGTGTGTGTGTGTATATGTGTGTGGGGTTTGCTTTGTCATTCGTACCCCCGTCGCGCGCTGACGCGGCCGGCTTGACCGAGCGCTTCGGCGTCTGCAGAAGGGACCCCGGCGCTGCTCCCGGTACGCTTCCTTACATAATGACGCGCTGACTGAAGCACATGTCCGCGCAGAAACCCCACATGCGGAAAACCGATTCATACATTGCTAGACGAGAGCCTACAGTGCCACACAGCACGGTACGCTCTGGTACGGATTGCCACGCAGCGAAGCGCAATCCAATAATCATGAGGCGTACCTTCGCAACAAGGCATAATATAGGATGTTATATTTATAGGGCCTATTTATAAGCCTCTATTTAAATCTTTTCTGATAGGCCCAGCCGTGGGTCCAGACACCATAATGATTGGCGCATTCTTCTGTCCTTCAAAGAGGCGGGTTCAAGAGTCCGTTTTGCCTCAGCGGGCCCTACTATTGGCCGTCAGCGGCGCAGCGGCGCCTTCGATTGGCCCCGCGGGCCGTCCGTCGGGACCAAGGAGGCGGGGCAGGCGGCTGGCGGGTGCGGGGCGGGCGGGCCCCGGAATTGTCATTTCTTTGTTTCCGAAGGCGGAGGAGGCTCTGAGCCCCCCCTCCCCGTGCCACCCCCTCCCCCCGGGTGCTGGCTCCATGTCTGTGTGACCGGCCCCAGGGGTAGAGTCCAGGCCCGACGCGGGGCGGGCCGGCGGCGGCGGCGGCGGCTGAGGTGAGAGGCGGCGGTGGCGGCGCGGGCACCGGCCCCCCAACGGGAGGATGAAGCGGCGGAACGCCGACTGCAGTAAGCTTCGCCGCCCCCTAAAGCGGAACCGGATCACCGAGGGCATCTACGGCAGGTGAGCGGCGGCGCCCCTTCCACCGGGCGCGGCCCCGCGGCCCCTGGCCGGCTCCGGAGGGGCCGGTCCCCGTTATGTAACCCCGACTAGGCCGCACGCCCGCGCCGGGGGCTCTCCTGAGGAGCGCGGCCCGGGAGCCGCGGGTCGGCCCGCCGGGGGTCCGCCCCGGGGCTCGGGGCGTGGCGAGGCCCGCGGGCCGGGCGGGAGGGCGCGGCGGGCGCGGGCTGGAGCAGCCGCCTGCCGCCGCCGCCTGCCGCCGTTGGCTGCGCCCGGGCCCGCCGGGGGGAGGGGAGGCGCGCCCCCTCCTCGCCTGGCGCCCCCGGCCCAGCCCGCGGCGCCCGGCAGTCACTCCGGGCCCCGACGGACCTCCGCTGGCCGGGGACCGGCTGTAGCTAGGGAGTTTGCGGGTGGGAGCGCGAGGCGCGTGGCCCCTGTGCCCGGGGGAGGGGGACTGACAAAGTTGGGAGCTGACAGCGGCCCCGGCCTCCGGGGGCTGCGGACACCCTGGGCCGGGCCGCGCCTGCAGCTCTTTGCCTTCTGCTCCCCTTATGGGATCCCAAACTTGGCATCAGGAACCGAAGCTGATACCCCCAAATCATGCCCTGTGGCCCCGCTCCAAACTGGGGCTGATGTCAGTTTTGTCAGCAAACATTATTTTTGACAATGCCAAGCAGATATTTTTCCTCGAACCTTTTTAAAAGAGGTTTTCTCCAAACTGAGATTTCCCTCTACCCTCTTTTAAAGGAAAGCAGTGTTCCTTTAAATAGAAATTGAATTCAGACCTCTGGAGAGGACAACAGGTTCATGGGGCAACTCAGGGACTATCATAGTGTCCCCAAGCCGGATTTGTGTACGTCTGTTATTTTCTGGTTCTTTTCAGAATGTTCATTCTCAATGGTACTTGCCTTGAAAAAGAAACGATTTCAGTGGAGAAGCAATGAGTTCTTCAAGGAAAATTCTCAGCATGTAGATATAGGCTTAATTGAGTCCTCATGGTGCTTTACAATTTAACTCTTCTAACTGGGACTTAGAGAAACGTGGGAAGTAGCTGATGACACCCAAGTTGTCTTAACATAACTGTACACCTTGCACATGCTGTTGTTTACACATTTGGAATGATTGCTTTCCACAGGCAGCTGACCGATGTAAATAAACATTGGGGGTTTTCTTCAAGTTTAGAAGCATTAAGAAATCAAAAAGTTCTTGGATATACCCTTATGTAATGAACCATAACTCGTAGGAATAATTCATTCATTCAACAATAAATGTTGAGTGAGCAAGCAGTGTTCTAGGCAGCCAGGATACAGCAGTAGGTAAAACAAAATACATGCTAAAATCTATCAGACCTGACTATTTTAATGGTAAAGCAAAAACGATTTCTTCTATAGATTTAATGGGTTCGGAGAAAGATCTCTTCAAGTTACACGTAGTATATATTCTTGAATAAAGGAAGACTTTTTTTTTCTTTAGCTGTTGAAAAAGACTTGAACAACTTCACATTACTAGAATAGAAAAAGTGTATTACACATAGTTGGTAGACTTAGGACAACTGTGGCATTTGAATGGCTGCTATTTACAGTAACATAAGATGATGTACCTCCATTTATAGCAAGAAGATTGAAAGCCCTGTATTATTCACATGTTTTTTGCTGTATTTCAGCTTCTTGTTGTATTTAAACAAATATACCCAGTTTACTACATTGTAGCCACTCAGTGTGAATTAATATTGAAGAAGTGAATTCATTGTTTAATGAGGACCTATTATTTTACTGATGGCTTTTGGAAGTTGAACTTTATTACTATAAAGGTTAGTGGTAATACTCTATGCAAGTTACTCAGTTTCATTTGTAAAATTTTTAAAAACCAGCCATACCTCAGCTCTCAAATCAGTCTGCTCTTTTCTGTTTGGTATTAAAGTTAAATGTTGATAAAAGAACCTAAATATATTTCGTCCTCTTTCCTGATTGGGGCATCATATATCAAAAGAGTATTTCAATTCACTTGATTTCTAGTTTACATTAAAAAATATTGAACTGAAGAACAAGATTACATTTTTTTCCAATTGTTTTTAAAGAGAGATTTGGAAAATTTCCAGTTATTTCCAAAGCAAGCCAAACAAGTGGGCTAGATATAAATTAGGATGTTTGAGAATTCATGAATATCAAATTTCTGTTCATGATCAAATTTAATACTACTGAATTGTTTTCATACCATCTATTGCCGATTTTGTTTCTCAACAAAACAATCTCAATTTTAGTGTTCATTAAACAGAGTTTATCCCCGCCCCCCCCGCCCCCCCCCCCCCCCATGCTGAGGCTGTGTTGACAGTTTTGATAACCACTGTCTACTGTGGCATAGCCTAACCTTTCATAGCTTATTTCATGTTCTCAGCCTGTACAACTTTCTGAGCCTGGAAGGGAGCAGCTGGCTGAAGACAGCACTGGGCTACAGGCTTCAGGAAACCCAGATTCAGACACAAAATCCCAGCTTTGGACACGCAGCATCCACTACTTTGAGCCTCATTTTTCCCATCAGTTAAATAAGTTTTAAGGACTAAAAAAGATGTCTCTAGTTTGTGAAACTCTTTATAAATTCTAGTGTGCTGTGCAAATATTATTTGCCATGTTGTTGCAATCACAGTTTAACATGTATGGCTTCTTCTTTTTTTTTTTTTTAATTTTTTTTAGTTGTTGGTAGACCTTTATTTAATTAATTTATTTATATGTGGTGCTGAGATTGGAACATAGTGCTGCACACATGCTAGGCAAGTGCTCTACCACTGAGCCACAACCCCAGCCCCTGGCTTATTCTTTTAAAAAGGCAGGGGAAACTAAAATTTGGTACAACTATAAACAAAAAATTGAGTAGTCAAAACAAGAAGCCAGTTACTGCTTGGTTTTACTTTTTAAAAATCCTGTTGCTGAGACACTTTTAATCATGGTCTTTAGTCCAGCAACTGTTACTGAAGCGATTGTCAAATGATATTTACTGTCAGTATTATGGCTGTGTTGGAATTCTCTTTCAGGGGAAAGATATAAAAAAAATTAATATTAGATATTATATTAGTGCTATCTGCATTTATATGTATGCCTGTCATTTGAAAATTCAAGCATGCTTTAGAAATGTTATTCCAGTTAATAATCAAGAATAAGATCTTTTGGTGATTTTTTTTTTTTTTTCATATTGCTAAGGGCTGAAATTCAGTGTAGTTTTTTAAAAGTCTGAACCAACACAGGTTCAATCATAGAGTAGGCAGTTGGTGTTCAATAAATGTTGAGTGAGCAAATGAATATATGAAAATAAGCTAATCTGTTCCATTCATTAAAAACTAATTGTTCAGTGAGTTGTGGAAGCTATAGGATAAGACATAGTTCCTTGTCTTCAAGGAGTTTACTTTCTACTTGGCCATAGTAATACCCTCTTTAAAAAAAAAAAAAGTTAGTGCCTTATAATCATACATAATCGTGGGATACATTATGCTGTATTTGTAAATGTACATAACATAGTTTGATCAAACTCATTTCTGCCATCCCTTTTCTACCTCTCATAATCCCCGTAGTAATATTCTTTTAGATTTATACAGTGGTTTAGAGGTTCCAAAGAAGTTTAAGTTTCAGTCAGGTAAAATATTTCTGTTAAGCCACATTTTAGCTTACTGTTTTGGTAGTTAAAACCTGACACATTAACAAGTATATTTTGTCCTGTGCTATTTTATGAAGTAAGACAGTTGCCACTAAGTGTGGGAGTATTTTCTAACTCAAATGGGATAGATACTTGGAAAATTATGAAAATAAGTTATTAATAATGAAAAGTCTCCCTAACTATTACTCTTCTGAGGTCCTTGGATTTCCTTGTGATTCTTTGCCCTGGTCTACCTCCACACACAGACACCTGCCACTCCCCCAGCAGCATCTCTTGTAGCAGCAGTTCTTC